CACGGGTGAGGACGTCACTCCATGAGCTAAAGTTAGGTTGTCCTTGAGTAGTTTTAACTGTTTGCGCAGCTGAAAGAGGACTTTTAGGTCTGGATTGGAATCCAGTTTGACTTTCGATGGAGTGTATTTGTCTGGGTCAGTCAGATACAGTATCATCGAGTTAATTGCAGGACCATCCAACTTCTGAAGTTGGATGATGTCTGGGTCAGTTGAAATTGACTTTTCATATTTTAAAAGAACTTGGTGAGTGTTGTCTCTTTCTTCATCAGATGTCAGAGTGTCAGCTTGAGCGACCACCTGTTCAATCTGTGATGAGACTGATGAGGGTTCTTGCTCCATGGGGAGCTCCAACGAATCCTTTTCTGAGTCGTCGGACCTGTCTTTGGGCAAGGCACCATAGGTTTGAGGTCCTTGGTCGACATCATTGGTTGAGAAAAGAGCGATGGCCTGTGATGGTTTCGTGAAACATACTGGCCCAGCTTCTTGACTCGGTACCAGGTTATCTGGGAGTCCTCCCAGAAATGGAATGCCTAGTTCAAAATCATGAAGGTCAGGTTTTGAGTTTTCAGTTTGCGATGACTCATCATCGTTTGTGTGTGAGTTTATCCCCCCTTCGTCCGATGAGGGGTTGCTGGAGGCAGTAACAGCAATGTCTTGGTGTGTTTCACCGACATCTGTAACGTTGTCATTCGCGCCTTCAGAGTTAGTAGCGATCAGATCACTACATTGTGCTCCTGGTTTGGTTCCCATTTCAGCGTGTATCAAAGTGTCTAAAAACCTTTGCATTTCCTCTGTCTCTTCCGAGCTCAGAGGTTTAGGGCCTTGTTCCTGGAACTTTTGTGATTTTTTCGCCTCGTGACGTTTCGTCCGAGGTGGGAGGCGGCTAGGTACGTCTTTTGGGGGTTCCTCTTCGGATTTCCCAGCATAATATGGGTCCTCTTGGATCCCATATTCTTGCGTCCTGCGCATGTCCCATGTACGATAATCACGTTCATCCTCTGAAAGAGGAGCCTTTTTGTTCCAGCGTGCACCTTCATTATGCGGTTTGTTAGTCTGAAAATACTGCCTTTTCTCGCCTGTTTTAGGAGGAGGTGGCGCGCACCTTCCTTCCATTTCTAGGGAGTGGGGTTTAACCTTTACACCGGGAAACACCTCTATGGGCGTCTTAGCATGAGAACGTGCCTCAAACACATTCACTGCACACTGTTTAATCTCATTTATGGATTTTTCTCTGAAATTTGCCATAATTCGTACTGACATGCGTATGTCAGTGTGGAGATTTTTGCTGAAAACAAATTTAAAATTTTCTTCTTCCTCCATTCCGGTTTCATTTCTGTAACCAAAATAAGCTTGGAAGATTCTTTTGTAATAAACTCTTGGATGTTCATTTTTACCCTGCGTGACCTTGTCTGCGGCTGGGAAACCAGCAGGTCCTGTGCAGGGGTCGTACTCTTTAATCAGAGCTTCATACAGAAGTTTGTAATCCTTTCTCGTTGCATCAGGTAGACGCTCGATGAAGGCATACACCTCTCTGTCCGAAGTGAGTCGTATCAGACTGATCTTATCCTCTACCGTAGCGTTAGGATAAGATCTCAATCTGAAATCCAGTTCTCTGAGGTACGCTTTTGTTCCAGATGAGCTTTTTTGTCCAGGTACAAAACATTGTACATATTTTGAGATTTTTTGCAAATCATCCATTGAAGGAGACAGTTTCCATGCACTCTGTTGCATGTTGTGTGGAGGAGACCTGTTCAGGTCTGTTCCTGCCACTTTCTGTGAGGGTGGGTTACGAGCAGGAGGTGCAACAACGTCTTTCTGAGGTGTATGTGAGTGGCCTGGACTCTGTCCACGGTCTTCAACTCGCCCCACGTCAGAAATCTTGTTTGTTGCCGCTCGTAGTTT